CTCTCTGGGCAACCTGTTCCAGGGATCCACCAACTTCACAGTAAAGAACTTTTTCCACCACCCTCATAGTAAAGAACTTCTTCCTAATGTCCAACCTCATTCTACCCTTCTCTAGCTTGAAACCATCACCCCTTGTCCTATCATTACATGTCCTTGTGAACAGCTCTTCCCCAGCCTTCTTAGAGGCCCCTTTCAGGTATTGGAAGGTCTCTGTAAGGTCCCCCCAGAGTCTTCAGGCTGAACAACCTCGACTCCCTCAGCCTGTCTTCTTAAGAGAGGTGGTTCAGCCTGCTGATCATCTTCCTGGCCCTTCTCTGGGCATGCTCCAACAGGTCCACATCCTTCTTGTGTTCGGGGGCCCAGAGCTGGATGCAGTACTCCAGGTGAGGTCTCACCAGGGCAGAATCACCCCTCTCCATCTGCTGGCCACACTTCCTTTGATGCAGCCCAGGATGGAGTTGGCCTTCTGGCCTGCAATTGCATGTTGGTGGCTCATGTCCAGCTTTTGATCCACGAATAGCCCAGATCTTTTTCCACAGGTCTGCTCTGTAGCATGTCTTCCCCCAGCCTGTATTCATATCTCTCGTTGCCCCAGCCCAGGTGCAGGTCCCTGCACTTGCCTTGTTGAACCTCATGAGGTTCACCTGGGCTCACTTCTCCAGCACAGAGGTGAGGCCAACAGCTCAGTAGTTCCCAGGGTCCTTCCTTCTACCCTTTTTTAAAAACGGGCATAATGTTTCCCTTCTTCCAGTCACCAGGGACTTCTCAACTACATCAGCCAATTCCTTCAAGACTCTGGGATGCATCTCACCTGGAGGAAGGCAAGGTTTTTCCACCTCTATCATGCTGAACAGCAGGACAAATAAACAACCCTGCACTCATGTAGAGATGAGCTAAAACCAAATTAAAAATAAATTTATTTCCAATTTGCTTCTTTTTAAGAAAATTAAAAAACAATCCTGGACTCAAGCCCTTTCACTTCACATCCTGAAGAAAGACATTCACATCCTTGGTGCAAGAAACAGCTGGTGTGTTGTGTTTCTCTCTGCCTCTCAAAGTCCACACTTCACTGCTTTTTATTATCACATTTCTTTGTTCTTACCAAAAAGAAGCCTCTGATCGTGCCCCTGTTCTGTGGAAAAGTACATCTTCTAGAAGAACTAGCTGCATTTCTATTAACTTGCCCCATCAGTTTTCACTTGACTTCAGTCAAGTCCTCATAAAGAGAGGAAATAAATGCACTGCCTCCAGCCCACCCAAATCCATCTTCTGCAACACATATTCAACTTCTTTTCACCCTTTGTAAAGGAATTCCTACCAATGCTACATGTACATGCCTTAACAGGTAACGATGCTTAACCAAGCAAGAGGCAGTGAGAATTCAGAGGTAGGGATTCAGAAGAAAACCACACTATAATTCTAGGTATTTGAGGGACAATACTGACCTTTCTGATCAGAAGCAGCTTTGCAATATAACGTAATACACAGCTATTCTGAAGATAATTTTTAAAATATTGGTCAAGATGAGCCTTCCTACACATGAAGAAGATGAGTTAGTTCTTGATCAAACCCTGACATGTACATTTAAGCAACTACTACAAAGACAGGAGCATCCAGAGTGACCACCTTCTTTTGTTCACCTTTACTACTGCTCTAAATCACCTGCTGAATTCTGTCTTGCTGATAAGTTGCCATTCCACAGGAACTATGCTTAGAAGTAATTTGTTGCAGCTTAGAAGACACTTCCCAGTTACTAATCTTTGTGTAAGGCTTTACGTTTTCCTTCAATTACAGGCTCCTGTGATTTTTCTGTGGAAGAGTTACAGCAGCCAAAGGCCTGGCAGTAAGAGGTTGCCAGCTGATACAGCCCGTGTAAATTCAGCATTTCTGACTGCTGACAGGCAAATCCTAAAAATAAAATGGGTACTATGGAAGCCTACAGCAAACACAGCAGCCAGGCATAACACCCAGTGGCATGCCATGGGGCTGAAATGCAGCAGAGGCAGTAGGTATTATAGCTGTTGGCTCATTTTAGTACTTTTTAGCAACTGGAGCTTGAAGCTGTTGTGCAATACCAATGATGTACACCATTCCTTCCCACCTAGCATGCTTGTGTCTGCAAGGCACCATGAAACACTCTGGCTGCCCGTTCCTGTATCAGCCACTTACAGGTATTTCCAAGACCACAAAACACAAGATTGCTTCCCAAAGAGAACACTAAAAGTCACTTACCAGCTAAATCCTATGGGTTTTGATCCAAATAGCCCCTCGCTATATGAACGTCCCCTCACCCCGAGCCACACATCCCAGCTTTGCCTTAAAGGCTCCCATTTCTTTTTCTTTGATGGAGGAGATTTTAGTGGCTGGGAAATCACCCTGTCAACCCTTTTGGCATGAGACAGCAGCAGGTGGGGGACACAGAGGAGCATCAAAGCAGAAACCCTGAAAGCACCTGCCCAAGGAGTTTGCTTTCATATGCAAAAACAATCTGGACAATCAACCTGTGCAGCCAAGTCCAACTCAAAAAAAAAAAAAATTCTGCTCAAAGGAAACCACAAATACCTTTCTGGAAGCAGGCAATTCAGAAGCCCTGACAGCAGCAACTCCTGACATAGACTTTTGCATAATCTGCCCAACCAAACACAGTTAAACAGGTCACTTAATCCTACAAATCAGCCCTGACATCTCCACCTAAAAATTAATGGGAAACTAAAGGAAGGATAACCAAAGAAACAAGAACAGTAGGGCACAATACCTAGTCAGGATATCAAGGAGAGGCACAACTGCATTGGGAGTTCTGGCTTTAGTTGATTTCCATGCATCTCCACACACAGAATCACTAGAAGAGTAATGAATAATCATAGAATGGTGATGGATGGAAGCAACCTTAAAGACCATCAGGTTCCAACCTCCCTGCTATGAGCAGGGACACCTCCCACCAGACCAGGCTGCACAAGCCTCATCCAACCTGGTCTTGAACACCTCCAGGCAGGGGGCAGCCACAATGTCCCTGGGCAACCTATTCTAGTGCCTTCCTACCCTCATGGTGAAGAATTTCTTCCTGATATCTAACCTGAATCTCCCCTCTTTCAGCTTAAAACCATTACCCCTTGTCCTGTCACTGCCCTCTCTGCTGAAAAGCCCCTCCCCAGCTTTCCTGGAGCCCCTTCAGGCACTGGAAGGTGCTCTAAGGTCTCCCCAGAGCCTTCTCTTCTCCAGGCTGAACAGCCTCAACTCTCTCAGTCTGTGTCCAGAGGAGAGTTGCTCCAGCCCTCTGATCATCTCCAGCCTCTCCAACAGGTCTGTATCTTTTCTGTGCTGAGGATTCCAGAGCTGTACACAGTACGCCAGGTGCAATCTAACAAGAGCAGAGTGGTTTGGAAGATACTTTATAAGAACATTACAAGAGCAAGTGGTCAGCCATTTGAGCTCAGTTCTTCCTCAACTGATGTCAACAGCACTGTCATCATAAGCTTCATCTGGCAGCACAGTATGTCTGGGCACGAAACACAGAACCAAGTCTAAACATGTATGAAAAATATCAGTCATTTTTGTCATTAAAGTAATGAAACCTTTGGCTTTGCAAAATTAATTTCTCCATATAGCATCACAAAGACTTAATTCTTTAAAGAAAAATTCAGTTTATGCCTGAAATTGAAGTTTGATACAGGATTGTAGCTGAGGTACGGCAACAGTTTAACTGCACAGCACACATTCTTGGCCCACAAATGCTATGAAAGGCATTTGATACAAGTTGTTAAAATATTAAATTATAAGTTCACTATCGCATAAAAAGGAAAAAGCACCACAGGAGAATAAGACTGCCTCAGTGACTCCACTATTCACCAAACATGCTGACAAAGTAAGTACTGTAATAATGTTGTTTAGCTTCTTGTATCAAGGCACTAAAAAAAGTTCACTGTTTATGGGGATTGTTCACTTCTCAAAAGACAAAGAAAAGAAGAAACCAGAAAAGTAAACAGCTAAATGTTTTAAGATTTGCATGCTGGCTAAACAGAGAGGAGAAGGGGCAAAAAAAACAGCAAGCAGGGGGAACCAGCCACAAGATATGCTAAAGCTTTATTGCAAAGCACTAAATTCTTGGTGCAACGGGAGGTTTTGTTTATACACACTGCATCAAGTACAAGACAGCAGAAGACAAAACAAAAGCTAAAAATAAATTGGCATAAGAACTGTCTGAACTTCCTTTGTCAGAGCCCTCCAGAGAGTAGATCAGCTCTCCCATCGAAGGCTTTGGAAATGGAAGAAAAACAATGCAGGCAGAAGAACAGACACCTTATAGCAGTGTCCAGAGAGACCCCCGTCCAGCCTGAGCCATGTAACCCTCTTCCCAAGTGCTCATTCCCACAGACCTCTGTGAGATTTGCTTCAAGCTCCCCTAGGTAAAGAGCACAGCAGCCCCAGTCTCCCTGACCCAGGAGAGATTTGCTTCAAGCTCCCCTAGGTAAAGAGAGCACCCTCACAGCAGCCCCAGTCTCCCTGACCCAGGCAAACACCGGCAAGGAGTCAAAGCTGAGCTCACCCATTGGTGCTGACAGGAAAGGAACTCCAGACTACACCAGGAAATAAACTCAGTCCCCAAAGCCCAACACCTGATCAGCAAAGAAAGGGTATTTTTCCCTCTCGTAAGCCATCCCTTTTTGTTCCCCTGCCTTATCGCCAGTATTCCCGGAGCGTTAGAAAACACACATTTCCTGGCTGCAGCTTTGAAAAGGATGATGCAGGTATTAAAGTGGGCTATTTCGGAACCAAGCACTTGCCTCAGACAGATTCTACCCCATTTCTCTCACACTGATCTTTGAGCACAGGGGAAGGAGAGGCCAGGACACACATACCCCCCTCACCCAGGGCACCGGTGCCCGGTGTCACAAGGCCCGTGCGTTTGGCAGGGAGGGACGTCGGAGCCGGCAGGATCCCCGTTGAGGGGCAGATACCCACCCAGGGGTGCCACGGGGGGTCCCGGCCAAGCAGCCACTTACTTTTGGGGTGGTGGCTTCCCAAGGGCCTCGAACTCCTCCCGCTGCAGCACGTTCCCGGTGCCCAGGATGCCCAGCTCCACCAGCTGCCGCCCCACCGCCAGGTTCTGCGGGGACCAATGGGCAGGTGAGGGCTGGCACCGGGGGGACACACACTCCCATCCCATCCCATCCCGTCCCATCCCATCCCATCCCGCAGGAGGACAGAGCTGGCCAGCTGGGGGTGAGGGGCTCCCTCCTGCAGAAGCCGGGGCACCTGAGAAGCAAATACCTCTGCAGCCAGACTCGGTGCTGTCGCTGACTTGAGGCCAGAGGCTGCATCCCGGGAGCCCACCTGCAAGCAAGGCCACCTGCCTCCTGAAGGCGAGGCTAAAACCTTCTGACCACTTTCCCCCAAGTGCTTCTTGGGGGTTTCAGCCACCAGCACCCCCTGAAATACCCCTGTCATGTAACCTGCTCGACCAGACACATCCCTGGGAATAATTTGCCTGCAAAAACCCTGCTCCGCAAGCCCAGGGGCAGGACAATCTCCCCAGGGGCAGGACAAATTCCCCAGGGGCAGGATAATCACCCCAGGGGCAGGATAAGCTCCCCAGGGGCAGAACAACCTCCCCAGGGGCAGGATAAGCTCCCCAGGGGCAGAACAACCTCCCCAGGGGCAGGACAACCTCCCCAGGGGCAGGACAAACTCCTCAGGGGCAGGATAAGCTCCCCAGGGGCAGAACAACCTCCCCAGGGGCAGGATAAGCTCCCCAGGGGCAGGACAACCTCCCCAGGGGCAGGACAACCTCCCCAGGGGCAGGAC